TGCACAATAGCTTAACACAATAAGTGTTTAGCCTCTGGTTCCAACTGTAATTGATAGAGTACAGTTCCATTCCCTCTGCTGCTGCTAAGTTGGGAATTGCAGCCGCAGCAACTGACAGCTTTTTTTTCTCCGCGAGTCTGGAGTTGCTCTCTGGGAGTGATGTCCTCATCGGGATGGGAAGGGAAATGACGGCAGAAAAGCTCACCCTGGCCCTGTGCTACCGAGGGACTCCAGGGACCTCTGCTAGGGGAGACAGCTCCTCGAGGTGGGTGCTGATAATGAGAGCAAAAACCAGGAGGAGAAAGCCCGGGGAGGAAATTTCCAAAATGCTGCCGGTTTGGAGAAAATGGGCTTCTCAGAGAGCACGGAGGAGGGAGAGCAGTTATGCACTAGAATTTCTGACAATGGACACGCTTTCAAAAGTGCTGTAAAATTGTGTCATTTGCTGATGGAAATGTCTTTTGTTTCCCAGTCACGGGGGCTGAACTCTGGGTGCGCCCTGCTCTTCAGATAGTGGGGAGATACTGGGCTTGGCTAAATGAGAGGAAAATTGAAATAGGGAAATAGGCACTAAAATGAATGTGATTTCAAACTGTCCCGTTCAGGCCTGAGTTCTGACACGGGAAAAAAAATTCCCGAGCAGTTTTGGGCTTAGGAGCCGACTGCAGAATTTAACGCAGATGGCGACTAATTTTGGTGCCTCTTTAGTTGCAAAAGTACCTATTTTTGAATATATTTAATTAACCAGGATTTAAAGGCTCCTCTTGTTTGTGAACACCTTGGCCTTTTTGTCATCTGTCAGCATCGTGATGTGCACTGTAAGTGAAGGGTTCTGAGGCATGAACTGTTTAGGTGGTTTTGATGTGCAGTTGCTTTTCTGGAGGATGTTGAAACAAAACAGTGCTGCCATTTCTACAGTTTCATTCAGCACTGCTTCCTTGGAATCTGCTGCCATTGCCCCTGTTATAAAGGATACAAACAACCCTGGAACAGCCACAGTGCTCCTGGTTACATTTCTAGAGATATCTGGCTGCCTTTCACCACAGAAGCACAGGGAGCAAGCCTTGCTGGTTATTTACTCTGCTCTCTGCTCAAGCAGAATTTCACATTCTAAATAGAATTCTGGTTTAAATAACCTTTCCTACTAAGGTGCAAGCTGCAGCTTTAAAGAACTCCCTGCTCACCGTCTTCTCCTTGCTGCTCTATGAGGACTCTTCCAAAAACAAACCCGTGTTATTCTACAGCTCCAATAAACAGAATAAATGTGCCTGAAACCTGCTTCTGCTGTACTTCTCCCCAGCTCTGGTTGTTAGTTAGTCTGTAGGGGCTGAGAGAGAAAGAAAAGAAGAAATATAAAATTTCACCCGCAAAGGGCGTTAAGTCCAGATTCCTCTTTGCAGGCTTTAAAAAAGCAAACTACCAATTCATGATCACAAAATAAAATATGCACATTTAAACAAGCTGCAGGGGAAAGGAGAGTTTAATCCAGTGAAATTGTGTTTGAAAGCTATTTCATACCCCTAGGAATAAAATCTGAATAGCAATTCTGCTTTGCTTCCACCCTTTTTCCACCCTCCTGTTAATATATTACCATTTGTTATGGAATCCTTACGAGACTTTTGCCCCAGACGGGGCTGCATTTTGCTGAGGGATGAAGGACTTTGTGGGCCTGAGCCTCCTCTTGCTCACAGGAGCAGGCAGAGCTCAGTGATGCTTCAGGGAAGAATCAGGCCCTGTTATAAAACCCCTTGTGATGCGTTGGGGTGAGAGCCCCAACACCAACGGGCTGCTTGCTGCAGGCACAGGTCCCATCCTAAAGCAGGCTCTGATGGAAAGAGCTGCAACTCTCTGCCTCAAGAACTATCGACTTGGAAATGACACTCTCAAAAAGCAAGGATGATTCAGAGAAGATTCGGCCCTGCAAAGATCAGAATGCGTCTGACATCGTTTGGGTGTTGATGTGAAATAAAGTGGCTCTAAAAGTGTAATCGGAGAGCAGAAATCCCCATCATCACACAGAAATAGTGCTCCATTTATCCAATTACACTCCCTTGTTTCATTACAATGCTCTGGAATATATTTCTTAGGAATACAAGGTTTAAAATTAATAATAGAAAAGGACAAAATTGCCATGTATATTTCTCTAGATAGATTTTCATCTAACAGCAGGACCTCACTTCTGATTCACTCGCTGGTTCTCTCTAACCTTTACATTATTCATTAATCAAACTCGAAACCTGCTTTCAAAGTCAGTGCATGGCAGTAATTATTTACAGTTGTGCATAGTATTTAATTTTAAGCAATGACAAAAGCAGGCATGTCCAGAATCATAAGGCTTATCATTTTTCTTCCCTTGGAGGTGAACTATCTGAAGAAACAAAAAGTTGCAAACTTCTCTTCAATATCTCTGCTGCCATCAAGACAAAATGCAATGCAACTGATACCTTTGAACTTGTACAACTAAAAATAAATAAAAGTGAAAATTAAGTAATATATAATGTATTAACTCCTTTAAATAAAAGGACTAAGGAGCTTTGCTATCAGCCTTGATGAGAGATACATTTCTTATTGCACAGTCTGTCTCCTGTCACTTTGAGGTATTTTTCACCATACAAAACAGAACCTCAGCATTATCCCTGAAAATGAAAGTCAGTTTTAAGAACTATATACAACAGGCACGTCTGCTCTTTGAAACTCCCCCCTACCCCCCACAAACAGACAAATACAACTTCAAAGCAGGAGAACTATTGCAAATGTATAAACCTACTTCAAATAGTTCTGCTGGCTGAAACTGGACTACATTTGCAGGATTTTGCTCACCTGAAACAACATTGATCTGAGGAGAAATCTAATCAAAGAAATGCACCACTGAAGAGCAGTGCACACTTTATAATGAGACTGAAAAAAGAGAGATCTAATTGTGGTCATACGAGTTTCTCCCTTGTCATTAAGATCTTAAAAATGCTGTAGGATCCTGGATAAAAACATCTCTTACTGTATCTCAGCAGGGAAATCCCGGGAAACAACAGCACGGGCTTTGCTCGCAAAAATTTACTTACTGTATCCTATGTTCCTAAAAAAGAACACCGTGCCCTGCCACGAAGAGATACTACACACATTCCAAGTGAAAATTCTACTTTGAAACCCAAATAAAATGAAGCCTCACGTTCCCGACAGAGAGAAAAAAGGAGCAGTTCTAGCACTGACACTGTGCCGATCAGCATGCACGAAAAACCAGCTATTTATTTATCCTGCAAGTTGAAAATGTGAGTGCCTTATTCAGATCAAACCTCCTGGTGAAGAAAATAATAACAGTGACTCTGACAGCAGAGGCCTCCCGAATACATATATATATATTTATATATTTATATAAATGTGTGTATTTCTAGCGGAACTGTTATTTACGGCGATCACCATAAATTTGGGATCTTTGCCTGCCAGGAATCCCAACCTGCACAGGTACATTCACTGGGCACGTCCCAAAAGCTCCTGCCTGCAGCCCATTGTCCTGCAGCCGAGGAAATGCAGCCAGAGCTGTGAGTTGATAAAAGTTCCGCGTGTCCCAGTTTCTCTGGGGTGACATTTCCCCCTGCCTGGATCCCAAGCACTACTTCACAAAGTTTATTCAAGTGTGCCACTAAACTTGCCCATACGTTTTGTCCCACATCGGCTGTACTACAGCCAGGAAATAGTCACAAGGGCGAGGGAAAAATTTGGAACTAAAGACATCAAATATGAGTTTTCTTTAAAGAACTAATCCGAGGAAGGGCACAAAGGGAAAAAAGAAGGGAAAAAACCCGCCTACATTAAAAGCCAAACAAGATAATAATTGTGCATGTCTGGCTAAGAGAATCTAGAGGGCAAGCCTTACGTCATTGGCACTTGGGTTACCATGGTGAGTGATTTATTGATATATATCAAGAATGAATAGATCAAAGGCAGCAAGATGACAGGTGATCAATCAAATGTCAAATCAAAGCTGGCAATCAACTGGAAAGCTGATTTTTCAGTGGGTGGGTCTGGCAGAAGAAAAATGAACTTCCATATTGCGCTTCCCAGAAACAAAACCCCACCACACTATTAAAAAAAAAATAAAAAGCAATTAAGGAGCCTGAAAGAGAACTCTTTGAAAAGATTTACTATACAGACCCACTCGTCTGTTTCTTTTTCTTGGCCCCCAAAAGAAAAAGAACACCCTACAATGACAAACAAAACACTTCCAAAGTTGCAAACTATTTTCTTCTGTTAAAAAAAAAATAATAAATTGCAAAACCACTTGGCATGTGCAAATATATAAACTCGGCTACGAAACAAAAGAAGGATTTGATTTGAAAATGCGGATTGTCTTCTAACAGTCAGAACGTTTCATTTTATTTCCTGTTGCAATTTTCACCACTGATGATCAAAGGCTGAACTTCCCCACCGGGTTCATCACAGAGAGAGTCCCTGTACTATTTCAGGCACACAGAGCGCTCTCTCACACACACACCCGGCCAGAACTGGCACCAGAAATACGGCGAAATAAAAGATTAAACACCCCGACCCACTTCGCGAAACACGCGGATCCAAAGCGAAAGCCACCGGCAGGGAGGAAAACCAGAAAGGAAGAGGGGAAAGAAAAAAAAATAACAATCTATCCTAAAGCCAAAAGCAAAGGGAAGCCTGACTGCTTTCGGTTCGGGCAGGGGAAGGGGCAGGGGGAGAAGGGGCGCCGGGGGAAGAAAGTTGGGGGGAAAAGTTTCGGGCGGGCAGCGGCAGCGGGGAGCGGCGAGCGGGGAGCGGCGGAGGGCGAGCGGACAGCCCGTGCCACGGGGAAACCTTGGCAGCAAGAATGGAACTGGCTCCCCAGACTTACGGAGGGAAAGGGAGGGGGAGGGGGATAAATAAATAAAGATCCAGCCCGGAAAAGCAAGGGTGACCCTAAATAATAATAAAGATGGGGGGTAGGAGTGGAAGGAGTGGAGAGACAGAGGCTGTGTAAGTGGATGGCTTCTCCTTACCTGCAGCCCGTTTGGGTGCTTGCTGTTTCCTCCTTGGCATCGCTCTACTTTCTCCAATCTCACTTCTGTCCCCAGATCCGAGAGCCCTGAGACGCTCCTGAGCCGTGTTCCTCTGCCTCTCAGCTGCTTCCCCAGCACCCCCCTCAAGCCTCCCCTGCCCCCCTCCTTTCCACTTCACTGATAGGAACCTGTTTGGTTTTTATTTTATTTTAGAGATCTAGGTTTCTTTCTTTCTCTCTCTCTCTCTTTCTCTCTCTCCCTTTTTTTTTTTTTTTTTTTTTTGTTTTTTTTTTTTTTTTTTTTTTTTTAACTGTTGCAACACTTGCTTTGCTTTGATTCAAACATCCAAGCTCAGGAGCAAATGAAAGGCGCCCACAGTGCCAGAGAACGGTAATAAATAAATAACAAAATAGATCTGTATATATTAAAAAGGCAGCTCTGGAGAGACTGTGGGGCTGGCTGCTTCCTCCCTTCCCTGTCCTGTCCTCCTCCTCCTCGCAGAGCCGTATGGCGGAGCGGTGCCCGGGTGTGCGCGGTGTGTGTGTGTGCGTGCGTGTGTGTGCGCGGAGCGCCGCAGGTTCCGTGCTGTCAGATGCCAGGCAGTGAGTGATATGGGAGCGGACAGGGAGGCTCGGGATGGGAGGAAATGTGGGATCCGCACACACACGCGCGCACCCGCACCCGCGGCGCGGGCACACGCGCGCACACGCGCTCACACACACACGCGCGCACACACACACACGCGCGCACCGCACACACACGCGCGCACACGCACACACAGGCAGGGCGAGGCGATGCCAGCGAGCATCGATCCGCCGAGCAAACTGAACATTAACAAACTCCTCCTCCGCGACCCGATGACAGGAGGAAATTTACTCCGCGCAGCCGGGCGGCAGAGCCGTTCATTAAAGAGACAGGGCGCCGGCACCGCGCCCGCCGCCGCCAGCGCCGCCGCCACCCCGCCGGCCCCGCGGGGACACCGCTCCCCACGCGGGGACACCGCTCCCCACGCGGGGACACCCCCTCCTCACAACCCCCCCCCAGGCGGGGCACCCCATCCTCACCCCCTCCCCACGCGGGGACTCCCCATCCTCAACCCCCTCCAGGCAGGGACACCCCATCCTCACACCCCCTCCACGAGGGGACACCCCCATACGGGACCACCCCCCGATGCGGGACCTTGCCCCGCAGACGCGGGAGCACCCCCACATCCCCATCCCGGGGTCACCCCGTCCCCGCAGGATGCGCTTCCCAAGGGAGGGCGCTGCGGGCAGCCGGGGCCGGGGCGCTCCGTGCGATCCACCCGAGGCAGGGCGGCTCCAGGGGAAAAGAGGGAATTGCAGCAGGGATCCCGCTGGGCGGCCTCCTGCCGCGGGGCTGCCCGCGGCTGCCGGGTCACCGGGGTGCTCCTCAGGCGTGCCCGGGGCTGGGGACCGGCGGTGGGGACCAGGGGATGCTCCCCGAGGTGTGCCCAGAGTTGGGGACCAGGGGATGCTCCCCCAGGTGTGCCCGGGGTTGGGGACCAGGGGATGCTCCCCCAGGTGCTCCCTCCCGCCTGTGGACAGCCCCAGGCTGGTGCCCAGGTCCCTCCCTGCCCAGGGTGTCACTCTGCACCCTGAGATGTCCCAGCTGTAGGAACACGAAGGGATCAGAGGTTGGGCACTGAAGTTTGGTGAAGTTTGGGTGAATCCCCTCTGCTCCCCGAATTCCCCCTGGCACCTGGATTTAGGGAGAGTCAGGTCCATCCATCAGGTGCTGCTGCACCCTCAGGGGGACCCAGATCTGTGTCCCCTCCTCCCGAGCAGGGTTTGTCACCGTTTCAGAGCCCCACCAAACTGCCAGGCCGAGGAGGGCAGGTGGCACGGGAGCTTTGAGCAGTGTCGGTCCCTGAGACACACAGAGACAACTTCCCCTGCCCCGTTTATTCCTTCAGCTCCTTTTCCCCCAGCTGCTGTGAACACCTTGAGCGTTTAAATGTGATTTGGGGTGGAAAGGACAGACTAATTTCCATGTATAATTTCATCTATAATTTGTATAAGACCTCCAAAAAGTGGCTTTTCTGATACTCTTAAACCAAGAAGTTGCTGTAGAACTGAGTTTTTACCCCTTTCTTTTTTTTCCTGTTTTGGCATTTGATTCTTTCTAATGAAACTCTTGGGATTAATATGAATAATTTGCATCCCCCTCAAATACAAAAATACAAAAATACAAAAATATAAAAATACAAAAATAAAATAAAAATAAAAATAAAAATAAAAATAAATATAAATATAAATATAAATATAAATATAAATATAAATATAAATATAAATATAAATATATTTAATTTATCTGTCAGTTACAAAGCACCAGGAAGGGCACCAGGAAGTGTGTCACTGGGTCATCTGCAAGGCAAGGCACAGGCCTGCATCCCAAATATAAATATAAATATAAATATAAATATAAATATAAATATAAATATAAATATAAATATAAATATAAATATAAATATAAATATAAATATATTTAATTTATCTGTCAGTTACAAAGCACCAGGAAGGGCACCAGGAAGGGTGTCACTGGGTCATCTGCAAGGCACAGGCCTGCATCCCCCAAGTGACCTTTGTGTTCAGCAGCCCAACACTGGATGTGTTTTTGAAAGTGTCCCCCAATTGGTGTCACTGAAATTGTTTTATAGCCTTCCCTGCACAAACTCCAGCAGTTTTTATAAGCAATAACAAAGTATTTATTGGCGCAAGCAAACTCTTCATTTGAAAGATGAAATAGGAAAACACTACTATAAAATACTCATTTTCCACTTCTGCCTGGCGTAACTCACCCGGCAGCGAGCAGACACTGGGAGCTGTGGGGATCTCTGGTACCTGAGTGCAGCAGGGGCAGAACCCTGCCGGGGCACACCAGGGATTCCCCTCTGCCTGCAGCCCAGGCAGGCGCAAACACAGGGCCAGGAGGACACAGCAGTGGCACGAGTGTCCCTGCCCTGGGATGGGAGCAGGGACACACCGCCTGCCTGGGAAGGGCAGCCTGGACCTGGATCAGGTAGTTCAGCACAGGGTGGCAAACCAAGATTCTCCCTTCACGTTTCACGGCTTGATTTGAGAGTTGAACCCTTCAGCTTTTGCATGTTGGTTCCCAAATCAGAAAACTTTTTCTGGTTTTCTGTTTCCTCCCTCCCTGGCTGCTCAGAAAGGTGCTGCACCTCCAGCAGATTGTTTATTGTGAAGGGTTGTGTGTTAAATGCTGTTTAACCCAGTGATGTTTTAGTAAGATTTCTCCCAAACCGTGGGACACAATGTGGCTTTTGGGGCACTCACAGGCACGAGGGGGTGGCAAACACAGAGCCCTCTGCTATTTTAACCTCTCCATGTGCTGCTCCTGTGCGAGCTGCAGAGCCAGGAGCCGTGGTGCAGGCAGGGCAGCAGTTCAGCGTGCTCTGGGATCAGAGGACAGCTATTGTTCTCCAGAGTCGTGGCTCCAATCCAAACGTGCTCGCTGGGGACGGGATTTGTACCCGCGCCGCTCGCAGCCTCCACACGCAAGATGAGAAAGTCACTGCTTTAAATGGTTACTCCTTGGGGAAAGGGAATTGAGAAGATGGACTTGTGAGTGGAGCAGGAGTGAGATGGCACCCTATCCTCGGTGATAAATGGGAGCATTAACAAGGCTTGGTCGAGAGGAACCCTACAGATTTATGGCTTCCTGTCTCCACCAGCAGATGCCATTATGGCTGACAGAACAGAATGCCTTTCAAGAGGGAACTGGGCTGGGATTATGAAGAAGGGGGGAAAAAAGCAAGCAGAGTCTGGTGTCCATTTTTATCCACGGGTCAGAATTGGCTGATAGGTTTGAATAGAGCTGGAACTACCCAGCGTGCGTGTGCTCCCTGCTCCTGTTATTTATAACAAAGTTGGTGAAGGTCATTTAGCATCTCTTTTAGCACAGGAAGAACCCATAATATTTACTGAAAGCATTTTTGCACTCTTGAAAATTAGAGATAATAAAATGAACAGATAGCACTGGAGGCTTCCTTGGCTTATCCAATGGAATAATCTCGATGGGTGCTTAATGTTTACTTTGGAAATGCAGCAAATGATTCTGAAGCTATATTGAATTTTATCTATTTTTATTACATTGCAGAATAATATTTCTCTTTCCTGACAAAATGTTATGACCAGTAATAGCAATGGCAGTTATGCATGTTCAAAAAAGAGTAATCAAATCTCACGCTTCAGGGCATGAGCAGAATTCCCCACTGGGATCCAGAAGGATTTTTTTCCCCCCATATATAGCAATATACAATCAAGTAGGTATGTTCTTAGAGGATTTTCAATTTCTTGGTTAGGTGCAGATTACATGGAGCAACAGTGTGACCTGGGGTTGTGAAAATCCTCTCTTGCTGTAGTTTGGGCTGGTTTGGGTCCGATTTTTCAGCTTAATGTGTGTGATTTGTTGTGCCTTCCAGGAAAGTTTACAGCCACTTCCGTGAGCAATAAAGGGCCAAATGCTCTTTGTGTACCTGCCTCTGATAACAGTTCCCATCAGTGTAGCCACAACAAGCTCAGCACTGTGACTTGCAGTGTTTTCTTTCTTAGTTTTGTTGTCCGTCTTTCTTTCAGTGACTGTTCTGCTGATAATTAAACCTGGGGATTGTTTTCTTTCCTTCCTTTTTTTTCCCTCCTCTAGAAGTTATATATATGTAGGTACACAACTCCTTTTGAATGCAATTCACAGTGTTGGTGACCCCTTTCACACTTTCCCTACCACTGTAGAGAAAGAAAAAGTGGAAATTCTGGTAAGTCCTGCAAACAAAGAAAGGGTTAGAAATATTTAATTTGATAAATAAAAAATTTTCAGTATTTCCAGTTAATGGCATTGTCAGCCTCAGCGTTTACTTCTTTCTTTATAAAATTATTGCAGGAAAATTATTTTTAAATGGATTTGGGTTACAATGATTTTGAAAGAAGCAACTTGAGGATACTTTAGAGAAAATAGAGAACCTTGTAGACCTGTTGCAGTCCCTGCCTGGGAGCAGCTGGAACTGTGCTCATTCTATTGAGGCATGTTTGACCAACACCATGCAGACTCAACACCTCCTCCGGGCAACCTCTTCCAGTGGCTTTACCATGGCAAAATTCATCCTGCTGCTGGAAATCTGTTCCTTTCTTGGGCCTTCTCAAATAAAATGAAGAACAGTTTCTTCCCTTCCTCTTTGAGGCAGTTTTTAACATCTGTGTTGCCCCCACTCCCCAAACCATCCTCACTTCTTCAGCCATCCCCTGCACATCACATCCCCTGGCCCTCATTTCACTGCTCCGTGGCTGGACAACACATGATTTGAGGTGCAGTGCCAAAACCTGACTGCTGGATTGTGTTTTCCACCTCCCCAGCAGCGAGTGGGATTACTTCACATGTCTAACACATGACACTGCTGTTTACATGTCCCAGTTTGACACCCGCCCTTTCTGCAGCAGCATGACACCGTTGACTCACGGAGAGCTTCTGATTCAGTGCAGCCCCAGCTGCTTTCCTGCAGAACTGCTTTGTAATCAGTTGTCCCCATCCTATATTTGAGCAGTTGATTATGCATCAGTGACAACTTTGCACTGATTCATCTTGAATTGCATCCTATTTTTTCCGAGTGTTCCTGCAATTTGTCAGGCTCGTTCTGGATTACAATGCTGCCTTCAAAGGCTGCTGCCGTCCCCCCTGGCTCGGTACCATCTGCAGATCTGCTGCTCAATATTTGCTGTTCCACCTCCTGAGACATTA